CCTATAATCCCTTATCCATCTAAGATCCCAAAGACCGTATATCGAGCATGGTGTTGTCAGACCCATACGGTTTCTACTCGAGTCTCGCTCTAATCGAATTCTCCCGGAGAATTCTTTCTTTCTCAACCCGAATGACCCTGGCCAGGGATTTGTCTGAGCAAGAACACATGGGATATTCCTCTCATGACGCCGAGAGTGGATGATCCTTTATCGACACTCTATAGCCCTCGTAAGGTCGACTACCACTCCCAATGACTAGTTGTACTAGATCTGGGACAGCCAAACCTATAAGTCTGGTATCAAAGAGTGGAGCACTCATACATGACATCCTTGGTGTCTCAAGTCTAAGGACCAGATACACCACTAGGACTACAGAATCGTTGTCTGACAATAAGGTATCATCAACCATCCAGCATTCCGTAAGCGGATCAATCAGTGAACTCATTCTCCAATGAGCACATGTACTGTATCTCTAGTGTCCCTACACGAGCAGCTATGAGACCAACTGCATCCATCATATGGATGGGTATACAGCACACCAGTCTATCCAGTTATCACGATGTCCCTCTCGAGTAACCTATGACCGGGATTATTTAGGATATGTGTTTAAAGGTGAATCGATCTCATTATCGTGATCTCATCACGATCCGATTCCCATTGCACAAATCCATGGACATCACAATATATATATGCACATATGCAATAGTTATAAAGTGATATACGCCAAAATATAATAAGGAAAAAGATTCTGTATCAAATCACACGTGCCATCACTCACGTGATTGGCTTGCTGGGCACCTATGACTAGCACAAATGTGATGTTTGGATGGATGAGAGCTAAGTACTATAAAGAATCAAGTATTTGTCGGTATTGAGTAGGATCCGAGGGCTTCCATCACATAATTTGAGTGATTCACTAGTAGAGAGGAGAGTTGTAACCTATTTAGCCTCTTATATATTCATATTTAATAATAGATCTTAAATATATTTTTTTGCGATTGGAAGAGTCCTGAAGATATAAATGTTGCTTCCACTGCCATGAAGTAACTTAAAGTTCCTAAATCTTTGAGAGAGAATCAATCTGCCAATAACTTGAGGAAAAAACCTTGATCTCCATAGGATTATTGCCCATAGTAATAATGTCATCCACATACATCAAAAGATATATTGTACCTCCATTTTGTTACCCTAGAAATAGTAAGGCATTAGATTTGGAGTTGATGAATCCAATTAATGTAAAAAACGAGCAAGTTTGGTGTACCAAGCTCTTGAAGCTTGACAAAGTCTATAAATAGCTTTTTATAATTTACAAACATGCCTCGGATATTAAGGATAGATGAAGCTAAGAGATTGTTGTATAAAGATGTCTTCATTTAGAGTCCTCTATAAAAAGGTATTGTTAATATCCAATTGTCATAAGTGTCAACCTTTTATGATAGCCAAACTCAAGATAAGTTGGATTGTTATGAGTTTAACAACCGGACTAAATGTTTCTAGGAAGCCAATACCAGGTCGTTGATGAAACCCTTTGGCTACTAGTCGTACTTTATATCTGGCAATTGATCCATTTGGGTTCCGCTTAATTCAAAAAATCCACTTACACTCGATATTTTGTATGTGATGAAACGGTACAAGAGTACAAAGGTTCATATAGAGTCATGTGAAGACTTTTGGGCTTGAGTAAATATGGTGGGTTCAATGGTCTTAGGTAAGGATTTTGTGGCAGTACGAAGGTCAAGGACTTTATACAGTTTAAAAATATCATTTTTTTAGTGTGTTATCATTGGACACCCAAGGGTTATGAGATTATTAAGAAATATAATTAGGTGCTAACTACGAAATCTAAGACATTTACTAAGCTAAACAAGTCCTTATATCTTGGTTTCTTCCGACGAGCTTCCGGTGATCTTTCGGCGAACTTTCGACGAACTCTCGAGCAATATTCCAACGGACTCCCAACAAGCTCTTGGACTTCACGACGATCTTCTTTGCGAGTTCTGACGAGCTCCTTTGGCAAGCACCTGGACTTCTCGGTTGGTTCCTGCAGAACTTCCAACAAAAGTCTGGACTTCCGATGAACTCTCAAACTCCCAACGAAATCATGTCCTTGACCCCGAGACTTCAGTTTGCTTTATGTCATGCTATCGTAGTTAATCCTGCATATGTAAAAATACACTTCGATTTAGACAATTAATACTAAGCATGAATCATGTTGTCCGACATTTCATTGGTCTTTTGACGCTTCGTCCGATTCTTCAGTGCATCGTTCTCTCTTGCGGACTATTGCCCAATCGGCCAGTTAACTCCGTAACTCTGAAATCCTTAGCGCAATATCCGCTCTTCTTGGTTCGATGCCCGAATCTATGGCTCGAAGTCTTCTGTCGATACGTCGACCGATCCACCGGCTCAACGTCCAATCTTCTAACATGTTTTCCCCCGACCTAATATGATTCTTCCTGCTTTAATTGTTTCATCCTGATT